GTAATTCTTTTTTAAAGTCTTCTTCCTTGGGACAATTAATTAATGGTAAAGAACGAATGACATATTTTTCATGTGTTCGAGAAAGAAGTTAATATATGAATGGGTTGAGAATATGGGACATTAGGTTTGGAAGTGACACGAATTACATTAAGATCGAGAAATTAGATTAAGCAGTTTTAGTCAAAGGTTCGTAGCGATTGTGTAACACTGACGTGCTGGTAAGTGACTTCATTCAATTTGCACAGTTCCACGTGCTAGCACCAGCCAGTGATGCCTTACCTGTTCTGGCTTCATCTCGTTTAGAGGCCCTTATATGGTCGACACCAAGCAACAACCTTCAAGGTAGCTCACAATTGAAAACATCTTGCGTATAAGTGAATAAGCCATGCTGAAATATCGCGAGGCCTCGTGAAGTGGGTCGACGATCTTTCTCTCTTTCTCTCTCTCTCTCTCTCTCTCTCTCTCTCTCTGGGAAGGTGTGTGCTCACTCGTAAGAACAAAGTTCGATTTTTTCGGCACTGGAAACAGCATTCCTTAAATTCTTAAAAAAAGACTACCAAAAAGAAGTCAATCATTGAATAAGCAATCGATGGATTATTAATGAAACTAGTATAAATTCGGTAAAAACCACTAGCGAACAATAACATTTTTTTTATTTATAGAACAGAAATAATCGAATGTTGCAAAAAGTCTGAAAAGAAATTTTGATTACAGTCTCGTGATTACAGTGTTCACGAATTTACGGACAATTAAACGAATTTTCACGCTCGCACGGGACGAAAAGCGAATCTACAAGCACAGCTGCCTTATAGAATTCTTAGAAAGTGGGTCGTGGATCGTGCCGGTATCAAATCGATACGCAACGAGTTCGATCTTCCTTAAACGCGATCCACCATTTAAGGTGGATCGTCGGAGACGTGATCGTTTCGGGGGCAAATCTTCTGTCATCGAGGCGAGTTTCTGCACCGAAATGGAAACTGGTCGAACTGGTTCTCCTTGCATCCGCGATCAAGGTGGATCGACGTAATCCGTGTATGTATTCACTTTTTCCTTCTCGTTTTATGAAACTGAAACTTGGGCATAGTGTACATAGTGTGTCTGGTAATAATTCTCATAGACGAGAATAGTTTAGACATTTTTATTTTATTTCATATATGTTTTTAATTCTTATTCTTATCAAATCTTAAATTGCCAACCTGAAACTGCAATATTAATTCGTGACAGAACGTTATATCCGACATTTCTCAGTGAATAAAGAAAAGCCACGTCAATAATTCATTTAAAGTATACAATTTAACCTGAGTAAAATTAGTGCCTTGTACGTCGTATCTTCCTGAATTTACTGTGTTCTGCTACCAGTTAGATATCGAGCAGCAATCGCCAGACTGTTGATAGATAAGAATTTCCTTAAAAGAAACTGTATCTGTACTATCGAGTTCAAACACCAGTTATCGCTAGATCGATAACTAATTGGCCTGTCAAACATCATGTCACGAGGAGACAATTGCTCTTCGATCCTCTTATCTTCGACAACGAAGAATTACCGCCTGCAAAGCTGTTGTGACTTTTAATTAGAATTTTCTTGATAATCTCAAAAAGTAATAATCGTATCGCTTTTATTCACGCTTCATTATTATTCTTTTGTTTCTCAATTCGAAGATAATTGAACCTTCAATCCGATGTGCCAAGTTCGAGGATCTAGGGAATCGTTACTGGGCCAATCAGCAAAATTGGTTAAGAAAGTTCGTACATACCACGGTCAATAAATTAATCTAACTCGACTCGGTGTAAACGAGGATAACGATTTCGTCGGTGAAGAGGCAATTCCTTCGAATCGCCTCGTGGTTCATCGATGCCCAAGCTTCTGACCCAGTTTACGTGACCGTGAACGAGAGAACGTGCCATTAAAAGCGTCATCGTCGCGCGAGCGCTGGTACATAAGGCGATCCTTTAACTGCCAAGCACTTGCCCCCGGCCAGCTTTTCTGACGCACTCGAATCTCGCCCGTTTGCAACAATTCGCAGCAATTTGCATTCGTTGCTCGAACCAAATGCTTCCGCGGCATGAATTGTTCAATTAAAGTCGATGATTAAAAACCTGAATCGAGATTGAAAACTCGTTACTGAAGAAGATCGTAGTTGAAAACGTCTGAATCGGTTTGGAATTTCTTTCGGATCCACGGTGTGTTTTCTTTGTATCATCAAAAGAGGTAGAATGATCAACTTAGGATAGTACAGTTCGTGGATGTTCGTCAGAAGAAACGAGAAAAAGGATGCAGGTGAGGGTCCGTTATAACCCCACATAATTTCGAACACAATGGAACCCACCACACCCTTCGAACTTTAGAAGCCTGTTTGAGAAGAGCCGGATCCAAGATCGCTTGGTATGCTGTGGAATCTATAGGTAGACGTCACACCCTGTCCCTAAAACTTCTCCTCTTGCTGTTCACTCTTTATAAAGTCCCGGCGTGATCTTCTTGGAATTTAATATAAAGATGACTATTGTCTCCCGAGTGGTATTCCAGCGGATAATCGCATAATTATTTCTCTTCCATCCTTCCGCACCATTTTGAGAAGTCGTAAGTAATAACGAATGATACCTGCATAAAAATCTGTCATTTGAATGGAAGCATTGTCCTATGTTATCTAAAGAAGGTAGTAATATTTACATTGTTAAAAGCCGATGCGAGTTTTACTTCGGTGAAAAACTGTTGTTTCAAAGATAAATTATGGGTTGAGTGACCTATATTGTCTCACAGCTTTAATATTTATCATTCGTCTACCAACTGCAAAGTCATTTTGATCTATTTCCTTCCATTCTGTACTTAAAAGTAGCAAAATGGTAAAAAGTCACACAAAGATATAAGGCAAATCATCCTGTTTTATGTAACAGTAATTATTGCAAACATTACTACCATTTACATTTAAAAAGAAGGTATGAATGGATCCTCTAGCCTACAATTTGTCTCGTTGATCATCGAACTAGAGCCGCCATTTTTTCGTTCCGCACCATCAACAGGATCCTGCAGATACATGTTGCGGGTACACCACGTTAACGTGTGGTCATTCTTTTTTTGGTCGTTAATAAAATTATCGCGCGCTTACTTAATATCTATATATAGAATTCACGCAGTGCTACATATTATGAGTCCGTATCACCGAGATAGTGGACGCTGAACGAACCGATTTGAACGTTATCGTCGAACATGAAAAATATTTGCGGGAAGACAGTTGCGAAACCGTAGCAACGGTATTCACACTTACCTGTAATCGTCATACGATTTAAAATTAAATGCACTGTCAGAATGATAGGATTCTCATGAAAAATTGTGGACAATGTGAACCCTAGGATCATCACGGTTGTGGGAACATTAAATGACGCCATTACTGATTTCAATTTGAAGCTTAATTTATTTTCTCTACGTTTTTCTTCGGAAATAATGTATTGAATTAGAGGAAAATAAGTTACTGAATGGAGTAGCTCAATTTGATGTATTTTGTGTATTCCAATAAAAATGGCGTCCATTACAATTTCCTTTAATTCCATAAAGTCTAATCAGTGGTAGAATATAAGAATTTACGAAATTCGAATTTTTCAGTTAATCGAATGGGAAGTGTCTTCTAATCATCATCTCTGTTTCTAAAGCGAAACATCTCTTATAGATCTAACAGACGTTGAATCGGTATTGTATTATTCTAATTTACACGATCGAGACGCCTATAGACGTTTTACGGGGCGGAATACATCACGATCGAGACACCGTATGCCTAACGGAATATGCATGCTGCATCAGGATGAATACGACGGTCCAAGCATACGAACCTTTCCTTTTTAGGCAGCCTTATACGTGAATAACTGTGCGTCCATTGCGCGTTCTCTACCGGTCTTCCAGATACAATCTTTGTCAACAGGACGCTTGAGCGACTGTGGCACTACAAAATACTATATTCGGTACCGTAAAATACACGCGCATGGCTAGGTGATTAGATAAAATTGGAAAAAAAAATGAAAGGAAAACTTCATGTTCCTCTTGTTCAATGAACCGCCAAAAAAAAACCTATTATATTTTAGTAGTCTTGATTCTCCACATGGGCACTTTATCGATTATTCTGACGAGTGTCATTACATATCTTAATAACTTTCTACAAATCACGAATAACAAATTTTAATAGAAAAAATCGACATTGGATTTTTATTCCTTTATGTCAATGTTTTCAGCGTGTACGTTTGAAAATGAAGGAAAACAGTGACACGGAAGAGTTCATATCATGAATATAAGAGTAAATGCTTGAATGTAATAGAAAACACGTGCATGGAAAATAGGAGGATAAGGAAACCCATGTCCATATTTGTAAACCTTCCCGGTGTAGGTGGAAACGGGTTCTTGAAAACGACACAGAAAAACTTTCACCGAAACGATGCTCGCGTTTACGCGGTGAATTCGTGGGCCGTGTCGAAGAAACAACGGGGGAAGTGTTCAAACAAGTTGGGTCAGTGACTCCGCAGGCAACACTCGTTTCGCAGACCCTACAGGATGTGTTACTTGGATCACTGGCACATCGTATAATTAATAACAAGCAGCGACAGAGAGGCTCGTGCCCCTACGAGCTTGAAAGATTAATGGAAATCTCGTAAATACGACGACGAATAAAATGTGCAACAAATAAATATCAGATCGAACGATTTATGACCTGGGTTCACTTTGCGGAGCCTATTAAAATTCTCTATCCATTACTAATACGATAATGAAATACACAAAAATGTTAATATTTATGAGGTATAAACAGCACATTTACGGCATAAAACACGAGGATTATTATTCAACCTTATTAAAATTTCATTCGGTTAAAGTTATAAATTAATGTATAATCCGTTCCTAAATGATAATATAATGTTATCTAATGACTACTGGTAGACTATAGAATGTTATAGTTCTTTATGGATTATAGAGATTTCGTGGAAACACCCGATTGAAGATCATGAATCTGGTTCTGTTGCAGATCAACAGTAAATACAGCGAAGAACTGGCGCAGGAATGTCTGGAATGGATCAAGACAATCACCGGCGAAAATATAAGCACCAACGGGGATATGGACAACTTCTACGAAATCCTGAAGGACGGCACCCTTCTTTGCAGGTATAGTTGGACCTCGTGAAACGACGATTAATGATTCGACCATCGATTTCTCGATAATAATTCCTGTTTTTCCCGCTTTTCAGATTGGTGAACGACATTAAAGAGGGCTCGGTGAAGAAAATTAACAAAACCAGTCTCGCGTTCAAGTGTATGGAAAACATAAACGCCTTCCTTGAGGCCGCCAGGGCACTGGGTGTCCCGGCTCAAGAGACATTCCAGACCGTTGATCTCTGGGAAAGACAAAATCTCAATTCAGTCGTGATTTGTCTCCAATCCCTTGGTAGAAAGGTAGAACACATTTATTTCCAGTCGTCCAAAGAATTATACAAAAATGTACATACAAAATGCCATGTAGAATTATCGAACCGTGACATTTTTCGGTGATACACTGTGCATATAAATTAATTATCCGCATGAGGTGGTAATATATTATAATTTCAAGAGTTCCTTGTTACAAGCAGTTTCTTGGAAAATTTTGCATTCAGAAATTATTCATGATGTGGCGGTATTAACTGATAGAAATGCATATGGATTGTATCCTCGTGTAAAAATAAATTAAAAACACGAAATGAAGTTTCATGTTGGAGGTTGTTTTTCTAAGAAAATGGAAATTGAAGAGTCACTAAATTCGTGTGCCATTTACTATGATTCAGAACATGACTCTTCCTGTCTAACTGTTCCTACTTATTTTAAGTACTAATGTTAGTTGAAAGTGCACTAGATGAATTTTCGAGAAAGGTATTTTCTACGATTTCGACTTATTTTTGTACTAAGAATCAGCTAATACGCATTTGTACCATTGATACTACCACACTCATGATGTGTACGAAGAAAAATACATGGGTGTCTAAAAAGGGCCCAGGCTGCTTCACTGTTTGAAACAACTTCCTGACATTGTTGTAACTTAAAATTTGCTTCCTAGGCCGGCAACTATGGTAAACCAAGCATCGGACCAAAAGAGGCGGACAAAAATGTACGTAACTTCACCGAGGAGCAATTAAGGGCTGGTCAGGGCGTGATTAGTCTACAATACGGCAGCAACAAGGGTGCTAACCAGAGTGGAATCAACTTTGGAAACACTAGACATATGTGAAAATGTTCATCCTCTCATTGAAAAAGATTCCATAAATTCACTCGCCCCCCGTCCCCCTTTATTTTATTTTCACGATGTACTAGAAGTATAGACAACGTTCGTCGTACAACAATCTTTCTTGTCGTGGTCCAAATTATTCTAAATGGCGCACAACAGACACGGTCGCGCGTGAATGATGCACCAGATGACTTTCTATGCATTTATACTAGGATGCGGTATAGTACGCGCATACCTGTAGGTATGTTATCAGGTTTTATGTATTGTTTTGGCGAATCGAGCAATCTCAAATGTTACACAGCTATGCTCAAATTGTGAAATTGAAGTCTATGTCTTGGACAGTAATGAGTATACTGTTGATCAGTTGTGAAAAAGATAAAAATGTGACTCACTGTTTGAGAACTCATGTAGGAACAAAGTATCCAAAGTTAGATTATGCCACTAGCAAACATTGGACAAAGTGGCTCTGCATTTGTTAAATATCTTGTATAGATTATAAAACAGAGTTACTGGTGCAACTAGCTACTCTGTTGCTGTTACTGTGAAAACCCCTTACGAGTTATAATGTAACCAAATTATACTTTAAAAATTCCTGTTATACGTGAGATAAAAGCTATTATAATTATTGTATAATGATAAATGATATATAATTATATTAAGTATTTTGTACAAATATTTTTTGATGATTATAAAAATAATTTTTCATAATGTATTAATGATGAGTTAATAAACCACTCCAAACGGACATAAATAATTCTCCAACTTCCTTCGTAACTACCAGTAAATGCTTTATTTTTTAATAATATGTACAAAGTGTCTTGACATCTAATAAATAATATCGAATATATCAATTATTGGAAAGGATAGTAATCAAGCCCAGAATTGTATTTGAACTCGTGCTTCTTTTTTCTGCGTCCTTCTTCTAATAACTTCAATATACTAGGTCTGAAACAAAAAATTCATAAAACTGTCCATTTGTGATCTGTGAGGTATATTACACATACAAATAAAATAGTTACCTGTAAGCTGGAGGTAATAACTCTTGTTCCAATGTACATTCTTCATTCGATTCTATTGGATTTTGTTTATATATTCTTGTCCTAATTACATCTATATCCCTATTAAACTCATCGCTAAGTTTCATTAATGAAGTTGGTGGAACATCAAAGCAAAAGAAAAAATAACTGAAAGCAATGTACAATAATTATTTTATAATAACAATCTGACAGTAACTGCAAATAAAATTATTCAGTTGATAGAAACATATTAGCTCACCCAGCTTCTCTATGCACTTTGCCATGGGAACTTGCTTTACATGGAAGCTGTTTTTCTCCCCAATTTTCAATTTTCCTAATAATACCACCTGTTTCGAATATTGTATCTGCCATTCTCCTCAAAACTCTCGAATAATCTACCTATAAACACGATCTATTGTTCATTTGCAGAAGAACCAAGTCTCATAAAAAATACAAACAAAACACAATAATAGAATATTTGCATAATTTTTTTAAACCACCGCTTAAAACAATGTTTTCACGCTTATGTTAAAAAGAAATTTTACTGTTTCTTGGTAATAAGACATAATATGTACAATTGTATAACGAGTTACAGGTTAAGTCCATTCTAAAAGAAACAAAACTTATTTAAAAAACGTAATATATTGTGGTACCTTATTCATAATACGCAATAATATTGGCATTTCATAGGTGGGCATGTTTGCGAATTACTTTTATTTCAAACAAATGAATAAAATAGACCCAACAGTCAAAACAGTTCTCCACTCTACTTCAAGAATGAAATACCCCACGGCCTGTTAACTCCCATTAGAATAGTGTGGTGACCACACTGTGGTCTGAACAGCAGCCAGACTGAGAGCTTTCCATTTCTTATGGATCCATGATATACAGTATCCTCTGTATTTTTTCCAATGCTCTCAAATTATATTTCTGGACCCTCTGAATTAATTATGTGCATTAACAGCTACCGATTGCTACCGATGTAGTATTTTGAAGTATTATTATTAATTCTTTTATACGTGATGGCAAGTGACCCAAGCATAGACATAGAAATATACATAGAGTTATATGCCACCGACACCATACAGGTAACAGCAGCAGTATGCCGTAAAATTGATGAAACATGTTAATTTGTTGTAACCACCGACTAGGTATAGAATAGACCTATCATCCAATGTTTTTTTCTGTCCCACGTTCATAGGGCTGCGTAAACCTGTTACCATTTTAGTGACAATAGCCAATGTTACTGATAAAGCATGAATTCGGAGAATTGTTAGTACAAATGAAGTGTTATATAATCCATTCATATTGCGTGTGTCTATATGATGTGACGGGAATAAAAATATCCGATGCTTCAGTTTAAGGGATAAATATGACAGTCATGAAACATGAAACGGAAAAGTATATATTTTTTCTCTTAACTACAAGACAATTTATTCTAAATGCATCGTTAATGGACATTTTATTAATGTTACTTTTTACATGTTCTTGTTTTATTCGTTTTTATATCTTGCCTTACATTTGTTTATTTGTAACAGATAAATTCAGAATAGATGTAGTTTCATAAATAGTTTATCAAATCTACCTTTTGGCCGGTGGCTTACAATTTCCCTTGCGGGAATGCCTTACCGTACTGAGCCATCTCGTGGCCGCAGGGTTCCGGGAATCGGGTGACGTCACGGCGTGCGAGCGAGAGCGGTAGAGCGAGCCGTGGTATCGGTGCTCTCCGTCGGTGTTGACGGGTGCCGAGGAATTTCGGTGGTCTATGGGAGGGAGGTGTGCGAGCGAGAGAGTACGGTAGAGCGTGCCGAGTATCGGTGCTCTCCGTCGATCCAACGCGCTAGTGAGTTGCGTCACCCAGTTTATTGACTTAGCCGTGTACGCCGTGTACCAAGGTCGTACCATCCCGTGCAG